AGAATATCTAAAAATGGCTAAGATGCGGAAAGATGATTCAGCCCAGCAGAAACTGGCAATTGAAAATTAATTCGCCATTTCTCTTCACTCCAGTTTGACAGTCTTACTGACAGTGCGACAAAATAGGTCCTCTCCCATGTTGTTGGTAAGGGTATAAAGTGGTACAGTCTTTTTTAAAAAAAGACAATTGACATAACTAATCTACAGAATGTTTGTATATATGCACAAGGATATGGAAGATGTTTGCTTCAGTAGTGCTTGTAATGATTAGCAAGTGAAAACAAGGGAAATAATGAAGAAATGGCTAGGCAAATTAAGGTAGAGTCACACTGAGGAATACTATGCAGTCACTAAAAAGACTGAGAAACATTACATGGAATACAAATCTATGAAAACATTTTGATATGTTGCTATATTCATTTAATTTTATAAAAGAAATGAGACTTTATAAAGTTAAAAATCCTACTTTGTATCCCCATGTCCCTCATTTTTTTCTTCCCTCTGCAGAGATAACTACTATACTACATTTGGTGTTTATCATCCTTGTGCACATTTTCAAAGTTGAAATTGTGTTGTTATCTATAATCCAACTTGCTTTAAAAAATCAACAACTTTCAAAAATATTTATTCATGTTGACCCATGTAGCTATAGTTCATTTTAACCACTGTATAGTATTCTATCAGATTAACAGATCACAATTTATTCTCCCACTGATGAATATTTATGTTATTTCTAATTATTCATCATTATAAACAGGGCTGTAATAAACATTCTTATACATGTCTCCCTGTGCACATATGGCTAGATTTCTCTAGGATATGTTTAACTCTACTAGATACAGCTCCATAATATCTTGTTCAAAACCCTTGGAGCCAGTTATGTTTCAGAATAAGATTTATTGAATTTTAGAAAGGCAATATGGCATATGTGCCATATATAACACCCTCAGTAGGGTTTGGGAAATAGACATAATTAAATATATTACTTTTTCTGTGTTGAAAAGTATAAACATCCACACTAAGTGGGATAAATACAGATAATAAATAACTTACCATCAGGTCAGATTTTGCACCAAATTAGTAAAGAAAGAATAAGCATTTCCAATTTCTGAATTGCCAATAAGGGATTTGGATCTGTACCACCAAGCTTCTCTATAAAGTAGGTGTATTAATTTATTTTCTCACCTTTATGACATCCTGTTTTTACATATCCTCATCAGTAATTGGTAATATCAGACTTTAAGATTTTTGCAAATCTGATAGATGAGTTCATATTACTTTTGTAATTAAAACAAAAAAGAACACATAAAACATGAATGAAGAGATCTCATTTTTAACAGCCATGAAAACATAAAACATTCATGATTGTACTAAGTAAAAAATGTGAAGAATCCAAATGCAGAAAATGTTAAACTGTTTGAGGAATGTGAATATGATGAATAAATGGACAGGGCCCTGCATAGGCAGTCTTTGTGTTACAAATATGTCCTTAACCTGCAAATTCTTTTATAAATTCAATGCAACTCCAATCAAATCATAATAGAACATTGGAAATAAAAATTATAAAATTAACCTGGAAGAATAAATATCTGGGAATGTTCTGAAAGAGGAAAGTATGATGTATTTCCTCTAGTAGGAATGGACTACTAGATGTTAAAACAGATTACAAAGATATGGTATTTAAAACAATGTGGTAATGGCTGAGAAATAGAATGATCATGAGACCATAAAGAAAATCCAGAAATAGAACAAAGATAAATATGAATTAAATATATTATAAAGATGGCATTTTAAAATTAATCAATGATGTTGCAAACAACTAGTTAGCCATTTGGAAAAAAGAAAAGGCTGGATCCCTATCATGCTCCTCATCTCAAAGGAAATTTCAAATTGATAAATGATTAATATACTAAAAATGAAGTAACAGAAGAAAACATGCGCCAATACTTTCATAATTTTGAAGTGGGGAAATCTAAGTATCACATGAAATCTAAACACTGTAAAGGAAAAACCTTGTAATTTGACATTCCAAGAATGAAAAACTGGCCAGGTATGATGAGTCACACTTGTAATCCCAGCACATTAGGAGGCTGGGATGGGAGGATTGCTTGAGTCTAGGAGTTTGAGACCGGCCTGGGCAACAAAGAGAGACCCCTGTCTCTACAAAAAACAAAAAATCAGGTGGGCATGGTGGTACATGCCTGTAGCATCAACTACTTAGGAGGCTGAGGTGGAAGGATTTGCTTGAGCCAGGGAGGTAAGAGCTGCAGTAAACCTTGATCATGCTACCACATTCCAGTCTGGGTGACAGAATGAGACTCTGTCTCAAAAAAAGAACAAAAAAGAAGAAGAAAACAAAATCCTATACAGCAAAAAACACCATGTAGTGAATATTGTGGCTGTCTCCCCGACATTCTCTCCACCATCTTCCCGGTTGTCTAGATGCTATGCAGTTTGTTTGGGGGTAGCGATCCATGGCTCCTTACTCTAAATTCCAAGGGTGAGACATGATTGATTGCTTTAACCTATCAGGGTAATCTTGTTGCCCTTGCCACAGTGATTGGTTCAAGTAACCGATAAAAACCATAAACTCATGGCCCGCTCCCAATGAAAAAGAATGACATATAATCCAACTTAGAGCTCTCAATATTGAGGCTTATTGGATTAAAAAGTTCCTTGCTCTTCTAAGAGAGCCGCTGGAAGTTTCTGCACAGTATTGTGTGAGGATGTGAAATCTAGAAAAATGGCAGCCATTTAGCCACCATGAGGGAAGTAAGATTTAGGATGGTCTTCGTACCATAAAAGACAGAGTAGAAGGGAGGAAAGGAAACGGTCTTCACATTTTATTTTGGTCACTGAATTATACTAACCTTGAACCACCTTTGGATTTTCAGTCAATAAATATTTTCTGAGTTGGGTTTTTTACCTACAAAATAAAGGGTTCTAACTAATATGAACCAATGAACAAACTCAAAAGACAAACTGGGAAAACATTTACAATGCGAATAACAAATAGCTAAAATCCCTAAAACAAAGAACTACAAATCAATACAAAAAGAAAATAACCTAATTTTTTCAAAGGCTGACTATCTCAATAGTTAATACAAGAGGAAATAAAAATAACCAACACACAATATCAGTAGATGCTTAAGTTCACTATAAATTAATGTAAATAAGAACAAAGGAAAATTATTTTTCATTTGAAAGACTGACAAAAATGAAAGAAACATTAATATTACTTATTAAGGCTGAGCTTTCATAGGGAGATGGATTCTTCCATAACCTATTGGAGAGAATGTAAATTGGTGATTTTCAAGAGTAATTATGTACTTTCTATTAGCATTTATAATATTCATAGCTTTTTTTTTTTGAGACAGAGTCTTACTCTGTCACCCAGGCTGGAGTGCAGTGGCATGATCTCGGCTCACTGCAACCTCCGCCTCCCAGGTTCAATTGATTCTCCTGCCTCAGCCTCCCGAGTAGCTGGGATTAGAGGGGCATGCCACCATGCCTAGTTAATTTTTGTATTCTTAGTAGAGATGGGGTTTCACCAGTTGGCCAGGATGGTCTTGAACTCCTGACCTCAGGTGATCTGCCTGCCTTGGCCTCCCAAAGTGCTGGGATTACAGGCATGAGCCACGGCACCTGGCCAATATTCATTGCTTTTAACCCACCAATTCCATGCCTGAAATTTTATGCTATGGAAATAACTAAGCAGGTAGGCAAAGATATATACAAATATCTTGCAGTATTGTTTATAGAGTGGAATACTGGAAGCATTCTAAATATCCATCAGTTCAGAACTGGTTAAATAAACTCATGGTACATTCATGCAATGGAAGAACTTTATGGGCTTCATAAAGGATGAAACAATTCTCTATGTTACCAATGAAATATATTTAAGATAAATTAAGTAAAAAGTAAAACTGTAATATAATACACAGGATTATAATTTTTGTGACAGTATGTACAGATTAAAATAATGGGACAGAATATCATCATACTATTATTAACAGTGATCAGCTGTGGGAAATGGAAGTAGGGTTCAGTGGGAAAAGCCCTATTTCTGTCAGATACCCACATACACATACACATACACATACACATACACATACACATACACATACACATACACATACACATACACAGTACTCATGCACACACACATAATCACTACCACCAGGACCACATCCTGCCCATCAGGAATTAAACTACTACTTTGGTTTCTGTTTGCAACCTGTTCCCTGCTCTGTGGCATGACAAGGATAGCATGGTACATGTTTTTGAACATTTTAAAACCACAATAAAATAGACTAAAAGTTAGCTTGCTTTTTCATTATCTACTATATGCTGGCAATTCTAAACAATGCCAATGGCAAAATAGTCCTCCCAGTAAGAGTGCTGCTCTCCCAGCCCCCACCTTTGCATGACTGCCCCTCTGAAAAACTCATTCATTTGACCATGAGTGCCCACGTGCCATTTGCTGGGCCAGGTGCTGCCCACTTTTGCCTCTCTGTCTCCAGTGTCCAGACCATCAACGAATTCCCACTTTGCTCCTGAGAGTGTTATCTGAAAACACTTTCCCTAAAATCTTGGGGAAAAGCAAAATGGTTGCTCAAAACTGGCTATCTGAAAAGCCTTTGGCTGGTGAAGTCATAGGCTCCTTTCAAGTACCAATGGAAGTGGTGTTTTCCCCAGCTGGTTTCTCTGGAGAAGGGGATCACTGGAGAGGGCAGGGCCTTCCTTACTCCATCAGCTTTAAGAATAAGCACCCCATGGAATACAAAGAAAGCCATCTACCTAGCATAACCTGAGCCTTGTAACAGAGAGGGGAGTGTGTGGGGAGAACAAGAGGCAGATCCAATTAATTACCCTTAGAAGCAAAGGTAAAAGTTGAAGATTACGAGACCCATTTACAGGAGGAAATAGACCCATCATTGAGCCTAGAGAATGGGAGGATTGTTTAGGGCCAGAAAAGCGTCTCAATGTTCAGATTCCATTCCATTTCTGGAGCTTTGGAGAGAGGAAGGTCATAGTTTGGGCTTGGAAGGTACACTTAGCAGTGGGTTCAGACTGGTAGGAGGGGGGCTGTTGTTTTGGTTCTGATTCTGGCCCTGCAGCCGACCCCCACCCTGTGGGACAGAAGCTTTTATCTTCTCCAGGGGCTGGCCAAGGAGGGGGTGCCCCCTGCGAGAGGCCCATCCATTACCATCACAACAGCTGATGTCACAGACCCCACAAAGCAGCTGGTTCCCAAATGCAGGGTAACCCTAACCCCACCAGCGATTGAAACAGATAGAGGGGTAGCTCTCCCACACAATGCCTGGCCCTCACTCCTCTCCTCCTCCTCCTTGCACTTCCTCAAGAGCCTTTGTCTTCTGGTCCCTAGGGCCCACAGGCTCTCTCATTCCCGGCAAACTCTGCCCATTAAATTCAAAACGAGGCCTCTGGGGAAAGGGTTTGGCACTTTCTTTCCCTGCCTCCTCTTATCTCCCACCAGCTATTCCCCATCCGCATCTGCCTGGCAGGCAGATAAGAAGCCCAGCTGTGAGAAAAGGGGCAAGGTGGTGACGGCTTTGCAACCTTCCCTGGGCTGTTTTGATTGGCTTTGTTTTTCTGCCTTGGAGTACCCCACAGGGTTGCTGGTCCCTCTCTGGACAAGGCCTTCCGCCAGAAGTCCTAACAGTTAGTGCTGAGGCTGTGGGAAATGTTCTGGGTGAGTCAGGTTGTTTGACTTTGACAGCCCATGTCTCTGTACTGAACTGTCTGTCACCTCCCCAACCAGTTGGAAGCCTCCATATTTTCAGGAGAGCAGCGTCCTCCTCTTCCCTCAGTACCCGTGTGCTGAGAGAGAGAGCCAGAAGCAGTGGTTTCACCGATTTTTAAGTGTGACATGGGATTCGGGGGAGGCTCCTGGAGAAGGTAGGTGGAATCTGCCAGAGCTCTATGAGGCAGGGAGACGAGTCACTGCTCGGAGCTTCTGGCTTTCCCTCATGGGGATATCTACATGTCCGAAGGGATTTGAGAGCCAGAAGCAGTGGTTTCACCGATTTTTAAGTGTGACATGGGATTCGGGGGAGGCTCCTGGAGAAGGTAGGTGGAATCTGCCAGAGCTCTATGAGGCAGGGAGACGAGTCACTGCTCGGAGCTTCTGGCTTTCCCTCATGGGGATATCTACATGTCCGAAGGGATTTGGTTATTATTCAGTATTTGAGTCATGAATCTTTCTTATACATTGATGAAAGCCATCAACCTTCTTTCCAGAAAAAAAATGGTTGGCATGAACACATGCATGCAAACAGACACACACATCTGTGAGGGTTCTTGGACCCCTGGTTAAGAACTCCCAATAGAAGAAGGTAAAAGTTTTGGCACCAAAGTGAGAGCAGAGAAGGTTCCAGTAGTGTGGACAGGCAGATTCCACTGGAAGCACAGGCTATCTTCAGAACCAGATGGCTGGGTGATTTGAAAGGTGTGTCCCTCTGTTTCATTTACAGGTGCTTCACTAACCCCAACCCTGTAGTGGACTTGAGGAGAGGATGCCAGGAGGCAGAGAAGCCCTGGACACTTGCCCAGTGCTCAGCCATGAGGCATGTTGTGGAACTGGAAGGTAGGGAGGAAAAGGCCTTAAATACTGCATGTGCTATTGCTCGTTACTGGCTAAGCATTTTGAACTTCCACAGCTCATTTACACTTTACCACAAACCTTAAGTTAGAGACTACCATTCTGCTTTCATGGCTGAGGATGATGATATTTAGGGAGTTAGTTTAGTACTTCTTCAAGGTCAGAGGCCAGTAAGTGGCAAAGCCCAGGTCTTGGGAATGAAAGCCCAGTTGCAGCAGTCAGACTTCTTACTGAAGAAAATTCTAGTCTATTCCCATTGCTTGTGTGCTAGCCTGGAGAGAGCAGGCTGAGTGTTGCTACACTGGCATTGCTGGTCTTACCATGGTTCCAGGTGTGCCTAGGAGGTTCTTCATTACCTCCCAGAACATACCAGGCTCATGCCAACACTGTACTCTAATGTGGTCTGCACCAAAAATACTCATTCCTATGACTTAACAAAATTTCACTTGCATTCCTCCATGGCCCAGCTAATTAACATCCTGCTTCTTCTGAGCTGTCTTTCCCAACCAGACCCTTTCCTTCACTAGGCCAGAATGACTGTATCCTCCTGCATGGAGTCTAAAATAGGCTCATTTTTTTTCTTTTTTCCAGCCTGGCTTTGTTCTGGATAATCCGACATCCCTCCCTCTTGACTGGGAGCCTTTCCATGGCAGGGCTAGTGTTCAGCATTGGGCTCCAAGTTGCCTAATCCAGTGCTCCACATAACTCAAGCATTTTGAAAAGTTCTTGATGATGCCAGTGTTAGCTGCGTAGGCAGGAAAACCTAACCCAGGGGTCAGGGATGTTTCCAAGGCCATAGGAGGGCTCCTTGCTTTGTGTGGAAGGGAGGCTTTCTCTTCCCCACCAGGCTCTTCTCATCTGCTCTAGTCCTCAGTCCAGCTAAGTGGGGATGCAATGTCAGCCATCCAGTTTACCAACGCAGCTGCACTGTGCAAAAGGATGGAAGAACAAAATACCCATGAGACAACACCATGGCTTTTGAAACAGGTATGTAGCCTTTCTTCTTTAATAGCAGTTAAAAGAGGAAAATGTACAAGAGGAATAAACATGCTCTTTTCATGGAGGAGCTTTCCCCTAACCATGCGGCCCATCTGTATCAGTAGCTTTACTAGTAAGTTTTAGAGAAAACATTTCTCTTTGGAGTTAAAAATGGACTTTCCTAATTTTCTCGATAAATGAGCAACTATCTGTGCAAAATAAAAATGCCATTTCCAACACCTTTGTGAAAAGTAGTTGTGAATGCAGGCAAAAAAATAAAAATAAAAGAAGAGGCAATTGCAGTCAAGAGAGGAGTCCTGGGAGAAGGAAGGGGAATTTCTGCAGCAGTTCCCAGGGAGTGTGCTCAGAGGCCTGATGAGGGAGGTCATGGCCAAAGCCAATGTTGGGAGATAAAAGGCCATGGGTCTGGGACTTGCTGAGTAAGTACTTGCCAAGTGTACAGTAAGGCTAGACTGACTTGGAGGACTGGTATGCAATGAGAACACTGGGCAAGGCACCCTGGAAGCTGCATACTCCCTTTGCCAACAGGGTCTCATTTCCTGGTTCCCATTTTCAGGTCCTGTTCCTTCCCACCCATAACAGCTTCATTTATAGTCTGCTCAAAGAGATTTCCCTATGAATGTTAAAATTATGCAAGCAGCCTATATTACTACAGAAACCCAGTAGGATTCCAAACCAGACTGTCCCTTCAGGAATATAGATCTGGTTTCCCAAAGAACTTGGCCAAGGGTTCATCCCGACCAGACGCCATATGGGCTTCCAGCCTTCTGTGTGCTTGCCCTCTTATTGAGGCCCTCTGGTGTACTTCTACATCTCTAGGTATTTGAGGCCATTTCTGAGAAGTCTGATGGTTCTGGGCACACATACTTTGCACAAGTCCCCTCAAGGGCTGGCCCAGCTACAGGCCTACAGACAAAACTAAAAACATCCCACTTTTCTCATTCAAAAACTTGACATTTTTGGTCCCTGTTTTTACCTTCCCTGGCCCACCAAGAGTATGTCTCTACACACAGCTCAGTAACTGCATGTTGCTTTTTGCTATATAAGGTGAAGGCAGGCTAAGAAGGAAGAGAAGAAGATATATCAAAGGGTCCATCTTTATATTTTAAGTTTGAATAAGCTTTTTTTTTTATGGGACTTCTGTGCAGAATAACCCCTATTCCTCCACCTTGTCCACCTTTTCCTCTATAGCATAGTTCTTCCAAGGCAGAGGTTTGAGACCAGATCAGCAATTATCTAAATGTCCTCTAAAAAGACAAACACTGCTGGCATGCTTACGCGTCTCTCCATTTCCACTTCAGTCTCTCAGCACTCAAAGCTGAAGAGATCTTCCTGCCAACAGCGTACTAGCATAGAAAAGTGTTTTGAGTCCTTTTCCAGCAATAGAACTTCAGATTAGTATAATCGTTTCTCACCTATTTCAACAAAGATGAGAGCTTGGAGATGCCATTTTGGTTCCTACCTTCTCTTGGCTTATCAAGTTCTAGGTGGCAGCGCTCATCCCTTACCCTCATCCTGAAACCCTGGCCAACCACCCAGCCCTCAGGATGAGCCTCAGCAGGCGTCTGCAGAGCTCACATGTAGCCTGGTTTCTACTGCTTTGAGGAAGTTTGTGTGTCTGTGTGCCTATCCTCTTCCCAGGGGCTATCAAAATGTGATAGGTTATGGTGAGGTAGGGGGTGGGGAGGGAGGAAAGGAAGTTCTTCCCTCCCCAGAAGCAACTCAGTAGCTGACAAAGGTAGTGAAGAATTCTGTTTGATGAGACTTTCTTCCCACTAATCCAAGCTGGAAATGCCTGTGTGGCATATCTGTCATTGTTTGGTGATGCACAATTATTTTCTTGCCAGTAGCCATAGTAGCATCTTTCTGAAGTGTCTTAAAGTACAGTTTCCCCTGACTGACTTCAAAGCAAAGCCGTTGCATTGAGTCTCAGGAGTCCCTGTGGGACAATGAATGCAGCCTCCAAGCTAAGCTGCTCCAGGCTCTAGAGTATGGGGGATAGGATTATAGGCAATCTTTCTCAGACAAAGCCAAAGATGGCTTTGGGGATATCAAAAGAGGGGGAACCTTGGCTTGAGCAACGAAATAATATCTAGGAAATTATTTAGTGAACAACAGTTGGGCCAGAGGCAACAAGCCACAAGCCATGGCTGGCTCTGTCGACTTTATGGTAACAGTGTCTCCATCCGAAGGGGCATCGAGCCCAGTCATGGCTGCCCCACAGTGCAGAGCTGGTGACATTTCCTTTAAGATGGTAGCCAAAAAGCTCGTTTTAAAACATAAAGGAACAATCCCAACTAATCCTCAGATTTCACCTAAGGATAAGGTAAGGGCCATCTTTAGGCTTCTAAAATCTGACCTACTTCAATGGCATATTACTGGAGAAGGCTCAGTCTGAGATGCTCTGTGAAGACCTATGGAAATAACTGTTGATCTGCATCCTGGATCAAGTGCTCTAACTGTGAATGAAGGAAATGAGATGAACAGGGAAAGGAATGGGCCTCTGATTCCATGAAACCTGGCTTTCAAGATCCAGAAAAACTCCTTGGGTTGAGACTCAACACTCCTAGAGTTGGGGCAATCTGCAGTTAAACATGGGATCCAATTATTACCCCTGCCTACTTAGCTGTATCCTGATCTAGGCTAAAGAAACTGCCATCCTTGGGGGATTGGAATGAAGCTGTCATCTTGCCACACACCATGATTGTTCACAAGCCAGTGAAAGTCAGCACTCTGAGGAGATGACCCTCTAGAACTGCCCTTAGTGTACTAAATAGTAATGTTTGCCAGGCCCTTTCCTTGCATTGAGAAGAATCAGACTCATCTATGTGGCGAATGGGCATCCAAGAGTGAACAGGACATATTTTAGTATGCTTTTGCTCACTCTACCTCTCAGTGCCAAGCATCACTTTTTGTGGTCCCTGAGCCCCAGACCTATGCTTTAGAGCCATGGCTGAAAGGTGGTTCATCACACTGGGACTGATGACACCACCATCTCTAAGATAACACAGATAGTGTAGTAATAACTTCCCCTGAGTCCCAGCCTAGCAACATCTCATGTACTTGCTTATTTTTGTGCCTCTTTTACTATAGGGCAATGTTATGTGAATACTGCACAGGGGTTAATAAAAAAATACATATGCTCTCTTTGAAGAAGAATGAACAAATGCAGGGTCAGCTGGGGCTGGATCCCACTCTAGGGGGCTGCAGCTGGTCGCCTCTGGGGTTCCGGGGCCACCCTTCATGAGTGGTGACTGCTGATGAGTCCTCGGAGCTGCTTGGCCACAGTGTCAATAAGTTTCTGTTTGTCTCGCTCGTTTTTCCGAAACTGTGCAAACATGTTGTTCTTGCGGCTAGTATCCTTCATTCTAAAAAGAGAAAGAAAGAAAGAGGACAACGTGTTTGAGGAAACAATGCTGGAAGGAACCTGCAGAAGCCAGGATGGCAATGCATTTTAACCACTACACAGAGTAATGAGAGAGTCCCGATTATCTCCACTGTCAGGCCCACGCTCACCTACTCCTCAGGAAGCTGGCATTCTGGCACCCATAGCCCTCCCAACTTCAGTCATCTTTGGAAATTGGTTAAGAGCCAGTTTTGGAGGGGCCAATCTCCCTATCCTTTATACCTAGATCCATCTAATTTATTATCTTTTCTCAGAAAGTGTGTACCTGCTATTGGTGTCTGGGACATGGTACAGCTCTGCTGGCCAGTAAGCCCTTATAGAATGTCTAGGATCCACTCATTACCTCATGAACCTACCAAATCCTAATGGGACTTTGGAGATAATATTTGAAAGGTAAAGCAGGAAAAGTGCTCTTAACTAGCAATTCCAAGAGAACATGAATAACCGCAAGCCACTGTATTTTGAAACCTCATTCTAGCTGGCTATTCCATCACATTCCTAACAAAACTAAGGGCTTGACTCACCTCCTTTTTCTCAAGGTAAGGGCAGATAGGCAGTGTGGTGGCTAAGAGAGTATGGTGCTGAGGAAAGCATGTGCCAAAGGGCTGGGCCATCCTCTCACTCTATAAACCAGAGCTTTTTACATGTGAAGCCCTTGAGTTCTCAATGGCTGTCTGTACCCGCATACTTTTGACCTCTGTGCCGTGCTAAAGCTTCACAGATGGCATATTCCTAGAACACAAACCATGGGCAATTCTGGCCAGTGGTTCTTTCAGATAAAGAGCCCTAACTGGGAAACACAGACAAGGACTGGGCTGAGATAGTCACAGAACCCCCAAGTCTGACTAAGCAATTGTGACAGAATTCAGGAATCTGCTATTCCCTGCAGAGGGCCCACAATCCCTGACATCTATTGGTGGCCACCAACTCTTGTCCCAGCCTCTACACACCAGCCCCACTGCTAGTTATAGGGTTAGACAATTGAGAACAGTGCCAAGACAGATTTCTCTCTGGGATAGGGGCAGGCCAGTCTTCACCAGAGGTGGGCCAGCTCTCTGACTTCACTGCTCCCTGGGCTGCATGGAGACAGGCTAGAAAAAGGTAGAGAAGGAACTTGGCACTGGGCTATAAATTGCCTCTAGTCATATTTCTCAGGGGCCTTTGGCCAATTCTGCAGCATTTTCCCCCTCCCCCCACTGTGGGTGGCCCTTTGCAGAGGAGCAGATTAGGGACCAGTGAGTCAAAAGGCCAGAGATCCCACAAGGGTATTTATGTTTGGTATATATGATATAAATTTATAATGTATATATTCCATAAGGGCAAGAAGTTTCTAATGAGCACCAGACTGTGTGGCTCTGGCTACTAGTGATAGCCATAAATGAATTAGGAATTCTCTCACTGATCTAAGCTCAAGGGCCTTCAGGCTGGCATTACCCATCAAGCAAACTTAGAACACTGAATATAAGGTACGACCACCCACATGAGGAGGCCTGTGCTTGGAGTGGAAGAAGAAGGGGAAGTGACTAGGCTTATTGAAGAGAAAGCACGAGAGTCCTCAAGGCTCTGATAATTACTGTATTTGTTCCCTTACACACTAGTTACATAATTAGGTTTGTGGAACTGTCCTGGCTTTAGATAGTCCCAGAGAAAGATTCCCTTTCCTCTGCTGGGTATACGATATATCTAAACATTAACGACGACATAAAACAAACAAAATGAAGAAAACCACTTCCTATATTCATAGGACATTTAACTTAATATCCTACATTATCATTAATTTCATGATTCCTGGAAGCAGCTGAGAGACAGGGAGCCAGCTGGCTTTCAGTTCCCATGGGGAGGCTCCTGTAATATCTAGGAGAAAGAGGGTAGTCTTTGGCCCCAGAGGCTAGAACTTCTTGGCCATTAAGACCTGGAGTTGGAATGAGGCACTGTAAAGATAAACTCAAGTACCCTGAGGGCTAACGGTGGCCTGCTGGTTTCTACTCAGGAATGCTCCGAAACCAAAGCCAGCTCTCCCACCTCCCATCCCGTTCTGAAAGCCCAGTATCCCATTCTATTTTATTAATAGCTATGGCCACGTCTCAGTGACACGGGGGCCACTTCTTTTCCCTAAATGTCTTTAGCAGGTCTTGGGGTCTTCCTGTTTCACCCTGCTAAGAAGGGCCAGGTTGAAAAGGAGAGACTGGCAAGATCAGGTGGTAGAGCTGGCTGTGGAAAAGCAGGAATAGGTCAGGTAAAGGGATCAATTCCTATGAGGCTGGGAGATACAGACTGTAGTCATCTGGGTGGCCTTTGCCCTACTGTGTCTGGAAGGAAGCTTCTAAACTCTTCTGATTTGCTAGGGCTAAGCACAGAGCTTCTTTACTGGCCAACGCTCCAGAATGGCAGGGAGGGGCTAATTATTTTAGACTATTGTTGAGCCATAGGAAGTGGATGAACCAGTATTTCCTGGATCCAGAGATTCTTGGGATCAGAGGAGTAAAGACTGCTGAGAGAAGCAAATGACTGAAGGGAATCCCAGAGCCCACTTGAAGGACACATATGACCATTAAATATGACCATTTAAGCACCAACTCAAAGGTCAAAATGTTCCCTTCTTTCAGCTTGGCACCAAGAACTGTGGGATTAAGCCTTGCCTCTAATAAAGGGCCTTTTGTGGGAGATGCAGGCTCTAGACTTTAAAGCCACCAACAGGTAGGGGAGGCTGCTGAGGAGCTACCTTTTGTCATGGCTTTATTTCAGGCTCCATACTAGCAAGAGTATTGCATGTGCCAAGAAGCTGAATGGGAACAACGCTTTACCTGGCACCAATGGGAGAAAATCTCTGCCGCCAATCCCAGCCCCAAAGGAATTGGTAAGCCAAGGGTCACTCTAAGGGCCAAGGATAGAGAAGGCAGCCAGCCAGTTGGCACCAGGCTGGTTTAGTAGATTAGTATGTCAGGGCGGGGACAACTCAGAGACTAGGGATTTTAGTGTAGTCATTAGTGTAAAAGAGGAAACCAGAAGGACTTGCCTCAAAGTGAGGGAAAAGGCCCAAGTGAATAATATACTTACTCTCTAGATATCCTAGGGAGGAAGGTCAGTGGGAGAGAGAACCATGGGAAACAAAGTTAAAATGGAAACATCAGCCTCTGACGTGGTCAGGAGAAAACTGCAGTCTGAGTTTTTAGTCTCTTGGCTCCAAATACAAACCCCTGCATCATGCTCTTGCCTATCCTTCACCTCTTCCCCTTTGCTCCCCCTTTTATATTACATAGTAAGAAGGACAGACCTTGACCTCTCCTGCTTAAGGCTTCACTCTGCCCTCCTGGACTCCAAGCCTTGCCTTCCTAGGATTTCAGACATGGTTGACTGGACGTATATGTAGATTTACAACAATGCCTAGATGCAGGGCACTCTTCTAAGCAGCTGGGGTTAACTAGCTTTTCAGATTTCAAGAGAAAGCTGCCTTTTTATGTGGGTCTTGGTCTCTGGCCTGACAGCTCTCTAATAGGTTAGCAAAAGCCAGAGCCAGGCTGTACTACATAGCATTTCCCAGCTTCTGGGTAATATATCGGTTAGCCCTGAGATGTCCTAAAGCTGCTAACCTACTTTCAGTGGTAGCACCTCTGCTTCAGAGAGGCCACAGCTCTGTGGCAGGGAATCCTCTGCAGGGTAGTGACTGCCTAAGGGAATAATCAGACACCTTCTGCAAGACAGCTTTGTTGGGATAGTCAGCAAAATAAAAGCTCAGTCTGGTGGGGTGGGAGTCAGGACAGGTGAAGGTTTCAGTAATTCTCAATAATTTCTAGGGCTTCTCTACTAGGAACCAGAGAAGGCATCTGTTCTGTGGAGTTGCACTATCCAGCATTATACCCCAGATGACTAGGGCAGCCTCATTCTGTTTACTAGGCTGGACTGAGACCCAAACCAAGCCATTTTCCCTTTCTTCTCTTGCCATCTCTAGTAAGAGATGCTTTGCTCGCATGAAACTAGAAGGTAATGTCAAAGTCCAATTCTGACCCATACTTGGCCTAGCTTGTTGGGGGCTCAGGAATTAAGAAGCCACAAGAGGAAGACCGGCCTGCCAAGTCCAGTGATTGAGATTGCCGACAGCACCCATGGCCTATGGCAACTTCAAGAACAAGGCTATCTTTAAGGTATCGGCAGTGGTAAAATTATCTTCTATACCAGCCTCCCAACCCTGTCTCCTCACCTCCCATTACAGACCACTGGACTAGGTACTTACTTCTCAAGCAGGGTCAGAGCAGTCACCGGGTTTACCCGGAGGTACTTGCAGTTGGGCTGACCATAGTCAGCAAGGTAGGTTGACCAATCCCACTGGATGAAAAGATCCAAAAGCTGTAAAATATCCAAACCCCACCCCAGAGATTAGTTAGACAGACAAGACAAACCAAGATGCCAGAAACTTCACCATCCTTCACTACCAGCTAATAAAGTGGATACATAAAAATTAAAATGTAATAAGAAAAAGAATAGCTACTGACTATTCTTTCAACCAAGAAAATAAATGAATAAACAGATGGCAGACTTATCTCTGCCATACACAGTATGGAAACATTGCTAAGACTATATGCTGGCAGTTAGCTCTCAGAGGCAACCCTGTAAAGAAACTCACACTGGACGGAATCAAATTTAATAATAATATCATAATAATCATTCACTTACTCATTTAATAAATGCTTATCAAATGCCTTCCACATGCCAAGAACCATTCTCAATATTCAACAAAGAACAAATAAAGGTAGATGTAATCCAGTGCCGTATATGTAATTGTTTGAACTTCAAGGTTAAAAGGTCTGCGTTCAAGTATCAGTTTTGTGTCTTGCTGTACTGACTTAGCCCAAGTGACTTAGGTAATACAGACATATACACATGCCTATATACACACAGACAATAAGAAACACTGAACCAAGGCATAAATGGATTATGTAGCATTTATAAGAGGCAATATGTGTTATGCCTATGCAGACACAGGCTGAGAAGATAGAAATCAGGGTCATAGTAGATGAGCCTGTGATTGAGGACAGAGAGCCTAGAATTGGGTTATGAGTGTTAAAGAGAAGTGCCAAGAGCTCCATGTGTGAATAGACAATGAGAGCTTTCTGAGGGTAGGCTGAGTTCTGACACTGGGGGAGATTTTGACAGAGAGAAACCAAACTTCTGTCAAAGGCTTTCCTCCCCAGCTAGTTTTAGCCTCAGGCATCATTCCAACAAATATTCAAAAATTGTAACTAAGTAAAACAAACAAACAAAAGCTTCTAGAGGGGGATAGGGCCAAACTCACATCACTGCACAGAGTTAGAACCCCCACACTAGTCCTTTTTGACTCAAAACATTCTCCCTTTCTCCCTTCCCAGGAGACAGGTAACTGCTGATGAAGATGAGCAGGTGGCTGGCTGTGCAGAACAAAGGCAGAGAGGCTGAGAGTGCAGTCATAGCCAATGCCAGAGCTTGGGCTCTAGCACATCTTCCTCCATGTCTGTCTTCACTGTGCAGCTGGGCAAACAGGCAGTATGGGTCTTGCCCTATTTGGCCAAGTCTCTACTTCATCCAGTCTCTTAGAATAGCTGTTACGAACTTCCTGAAGCAGTCTGGGAATTGGCTGAAGTCCCAAACCTAAAACTGAGAAAAGCCCCTACACCCTCAGCTGAGAGAGAGATTTTAGAGATGAGAGAAGGAGGGGAGGAGAGAGACAAGCACGCTAGTTGTTCTGGGCCAGGATGGTCCCAAATAGCCTCTGAGGCCATTTTCAGGCCATGCCTATTTTCACTGGCAAGTGAAAAGGCTTACTACCACTTCCTTCTGCTGACCCAAGGCCTCAGAGAGTTCTCCTTTGGAAGAAAATTTTCCTTGACTTTCTACTCCAAATCAGTATTTCTGTCCTATGTTCTCCTCTTTACTTCTCCTGGGGACCACAACAGATACTGAGAGTGCCCCTCGTGCTAAAGTTCTTCCAGTACTGTGCTTTACACATTTCGCTATGTTTTCCCTCAACTCCTACAGAAAAACTATGAAAAAGGATAGCAGTTTTTCAATTAAAGTTTTTTTCACAAATTAAAAAAAGAACCTAGGGAGCCTTTTACCGTTTGTCTGTTGGGGAGCCGATAAGAAAAGTTAATGAGTATCAGAAAAAGTCTAATTGGAAAAACTGAAAAACCTGATTTCTTAAAGTTATTTTAGAGATTACTTTTTCAGCACACATGGTGATATTAATTTTGATCACCTGATTAAGTTGTCTGATTTCTCCCAATGTCTAGGTATTAGTTTTCCTTTGGAACTGTGAACATAATTTAAGACGTTCAAATATACTGCTACCCAGTGAGGATTCTTGCCTAACCCAATCTTAACTATGATTGCTGCAAACTGCTAACACCATCCTTCTTTCCACATTTATGAGCTGTCATTCATTCTACTGTAAGCAAGTGCTCTCTCTTCCCTCTTCCCCCCATTAATCTGTCTATTTGCTATTGGCACAAGCTCATGGGTTCCTACATTTTCAATGGCTGATATTCATAAGGAGCTCCTTAACGCTGGCTTTCCTGTGTGTTTTCGACCTGCCCCTATCCTTTCCTGAACATTACTTCATGGTACTATGAGAGGTTCCAAGCTCGTCTTATACCTGTCCCTGCTCCAGCCCTGGAATCAATTGCTTTTCCAAGGTGCTCTGGGTCCTTCTATTGGAGAATAGTATTTAGAAAACAAGATCTGAGCAGTTAGCATGCTCATTTCTATTCGAGTATTCTTGCATCCAGGCCAAGGAAAATATATATGTATACTAAATCACACATACATCTACATTTCTGTATCTATTTGTATACATATATTAATGTCATGAGTTCATATTGATGTCTTCAATTCCAATCCAGAACTATGAGATCTTTCTAGTTTCTTCCCTCTTTCCTTATTGATCATTTCTTTCTCTGACAGTGAGAAATCTGGCTGCCATTATTTGTATTGCCACAAATGTATTTGACTTATTTGTTCAATTCTAGTATAAAGCGATTTCAGAATTCCTAACCCATACCCCTGTAAGAAACAAATTAGATGAAGGTATCTGTTCAAAGTTCTTTTTGTTTTTGTCTTTAAAGTTTTCAGTCAAAATACAGGTTTCTTTCTTTTCTCTCTTCTCTCTCCTTCTTTCTTTTTTTTTTTCCTTTTTGAGATGGAGTTTCACTCTTGTTGCCCAGGTTGGAGTGCAATGGTGTGATCTCTGCTCACTGCAACCTCCACCTCCTGGGTTCAAGTGATTCTCCTGCCTCAGTCTCCCGAGTAGCTGGGATTACAGGCATGCATCACCACACCCAGCTAATTTTGTATTTTTAGTAGAGACAAGGTTTCTCCATGTTGGTCAGGCTGGTCTCAAACTCACGATCTCAGGTGATCCACTGGCCTCGGCCTCCCAAAGTGCTAGGATTACAGGTGTGAGCCACCATGCCCAGCTTCTTTCTTCTCTTTCTTTCTCTCCCTTCTCTCTCTCTCTCTCTCTCTCTCTCTCTCTCTCTCTCTCTCTCTCTCTCTCTCTCTCTCTCTCTCTTTCTTAGAGACCAATTCTTGCTCTGTTGCCCAGGCTGGAGTGCAGTGGTGCAATCATAGCTCACTGCAGCCTACAACTACTGGGCTCAAGTAATCCTCCCACCTTCACCTCCCTGAGTAGCTAGGACTACAGGCACACCCCACTATGCCCAGGCTAACTTTTAAATTTTTATTTTTGTAGAGATGAGGTCTTGCTATGTTGCCCAGGCTGGTCTGGAACTCTTGAACTCAAGTGATCCTCCTGCCTCAGAAAATGGTGATTTCTAAAGTTACTTAGGTTAGTTATTTTCTTTCTCACTACTTTCAGTATGGTTACTTTATTCTTTTATAATTCAGTTACATTCATTTTTCACTGCCTGTGTTCCATTTTTGATTCTCCCACATTCTGGTTGTTTTTCATTATTAATTTTGGGGTATGTGAAAAAATACTATAGTTCTGAGAGTAACAGCAATATAAAAACGTGTACTCAGAGAAGTATTACTCCTTCCTCATCCCAACCTGTTCCCATTCTTTCCACTTCTTTCTACATCTTTCTATTCATCCCTGTAGATAACCAATCTAGTTTCTGGTTTATCTTTCTTTTGTTTATTTTACTCCAATAAGCAGACACATGTATATTTTCTTATATCTTCCTCTTTCTCTCTTGAAGGGTAGCGTATCATAGCTATTCTTTTACACTTTATTTTTTCATGTAATGGTGTATCCTAGAACTTACTATCTAGAAGCTCATTTCTCATTAATGATTATATTCTTGATTGATTCATAAAAATGGTGTTTTGTAAACTAGATAAGTGAAGTCATTTTCAAGGGATAGACCAGACATTACATTTTGGAGCATTTCATGTTAACTTGGTAGAACAGGTGAGTGTTAGATTTTTAGAGTAGGACATTCTGATAAATGTTATGGCTAATTCAATCAAAAGCAAACTCAATCCATCACTAGTGATGCTTTGATTTCAAACACAAGTTATCTGTTTGTAGTATTTAATAGAACAGGGGAACCCAAACAGTGAAGTCGTTGATGTGGTACTTTATAAGCTATATAAAATGGTAAATTATGTGATTACTGGTTATTATACAAAAATATGTATAAGTGGAAAAGGATATGACAAAGGGAGACATTTTTAATCAGGTTACATATTAAACAGGTCACTATGATAGGATACTTTTTTTCCTCCTCTATAACTTTTATCTATGTAACTCTTAACTAGGGCTTTGGCAAAGTGTTAAAGCCGCCTCTGCTATATTTCCTTGTTTCGTTTTTGTTTTTGTTTTTCAGAAAATTCCCTTGGCTTAGTAAGACTCAATTTACTATTCTGATTTCATGGAGGGTGGGGGAGAGGACCAAGAACTAGAAAGCATAAGCAACTTGCTAAAAATCACAAAGCAGACCAGTGGTAGAGATGGTTTGTTGGCTCACACTCCCCGAGATGCCATAGCTGGTTTTTGTTGTTGTTGTTTTGATTTTTTTAATCCTGATTGATTGTGTCTGAGTTAGATACTCGTCTGAAACTAGGCCAAATTTCTGAACAGACTTTCTTTTTTGCAATAGTGGCTGAGAAAGACTAGAAAAATCCAAACAAGTCAAAGTGAAAACAAGTCCAAGGCCATACAGCGAGTTAACTGGACAGAGAACAGACAGCATTACAATAGTAGAACAAAATGCAAGGTTCCAGGAAGGACCTTAGGAATGCGTTACTATTACGATAAAGCAGGACTCTGTTGATCCTTGTTAGTGCACACAAATCTACATGCCTCCAGCAGCAAGTCTAGAAATAAATTAGATGGATGAGTTGCTTATGGTTAAAGGATTAGAAAGAAATTGTCAAGTAAAAATTATAGGCAATATTCAAGCAAGCCATCCTGGGGGTACTCTTATGTTTTCTTTGGCAGAAAGGATTATTCAAAAAAACTCAGAAAATAAAAATGTGGAGCCTGGTAGAGAATGGCCTGCTTGTTCCTCCTCCTCTTCAACTGTTTGTTACCAAACCAATTCATATCATGCTTATTCATGGGTGAAGAGAATTGCTGGATGTACCCTACCTTCATTGTCAATTCTTGGGATATGAGCCTCAGCTCCCATGTGGAGGGGAGCTCCCCAAGGATGGGGCTTATGTTTTCTCCTTCTGACTCCTCAACAGCACAGACCAGCAAATAATAGATTCTCAGCAGGTAGTCAGCAAAGACATGGTACACGGATTAAATAGGCCAGCTAACATTTTGTAGCAACAATATTGGCTAGATAGTGGGAGAGACTTACACTTCGTGCTTCTCACATCAAACATTCCAAATGGACCAAACCTAGGGTCCTCTTGGCCAGCACTAGAAGAAAGTTGTATGAGGAAGAAGGAAGAATCAAACAGGAGAGATGATATGTATAACAGGTAAGTGGGAATCCAGTCCCAGACATTTGATTTCAAGGTTCCAAGGAAGATAGTCATGACCAGTGACTAGGAACACAGTAGATGTTTGGTGACATGTGGGCTGGGTCTTAGTAAGCAGCATGGGGCCTACCTCATATTAGAGAAAGCCTCCTCTTTCCAGAAAACCTGCAAAGATTCCAGTGGGGAGCAAAGGATAGTACGAGCTAAGGTAGCCATATAGACAGACACAGATGCTAAGACATACTGACAGTGGCCACACCCCTCTCCCCTGGGGGTGATTTTCTTTACAGGTTTCCGCTTGAGCAGGAACATTGAGTCCTGTAGAGAACTGTGGTCTCAAAGTAGGTGTGATCTCGAAGTAAACTTGATGCAGGAAAACCTGAATTTGCACTTTATATACATTTCAGAAGAATTCTTCATGTTAAACAGGATTAACTACAGAATAATTTCAAATAACATGCTTTTCTGGGACACTTAATATATAATCCAAGAAAAATTCTAAAAATGCTACCTCTTCAGAACATGGCCATTGTATAAAGCGCAGTCCACGCTCAGTAACATACAGAACACTAAGCCTTGAGAAGCTTCATTTGTCCACTCCCTGTCTTTGGCAGGATGAAACTAATCACATTATTGCAAAGTATTTTTTATAATCGCTGATCCACATCTGCCTATATTTTGGAGGCAGTAGAGTACAGTAAAAAAGTTCCAGGGCTGAGGGTCTTCTGACTGACCGTGTGACCCCAGGCATGACACCAAATCTGTTTTTCTGGTTCAGATGTGGAATCATAATAGCTCCTATCAGCAGCTGAGAGCAGACTGAGAGAACAATTGTGAAGTCTACTAAAAAGCACAGAATTGACCAATGACCCATTTGTGTTTATTGCTCACAATTTCCCCAACTCCGTGTCTCTGGTGCTGGGCTTCTATGATTCAAGAAGGGCATCCGTCTGCCATCTGAGTCTCCTCAGAAGCACTTCCTGACACAGAAATCTGGGCAAATGTAGAAAATGGAAAGCAGGGCTTATTTTAACAAACATAAATTGAGTACCAACAATGTCTCAGTCACTCTTCTAGGTACTGCATAAGAAAAAATGTTAAAATGATATCTCCAATCTTGAGGAACTCAGGTTGGTAAATAAACAGATACAGAATGATACGGATACTCTAACATGTTACAAAGAAAGTTAAAAGAAGGGCATCTAAGCCTGAGCCCGGAGGTGGTGACTGGTAGGGGTGGGGTGGGGGTGTCAAGCAAGGAATTTGACATGGCTACATCTCTCAGGGAATAACCAAGACAAATGAGGCCTCATATGCTAAGCTAAGGAGATCGATTTTAGTCTAGAAAATTCTCTGCTTGTTCTCATCACTGCTGCTACCTGCTTTTTTCTAGATCAGGAGATGGGAAACTACAGTCAACACTTGTTTTTGTAAATGAAGTTATGTTGAATCATAGCCATGTTCACTGATTTACATAATTATCTATGGCTGCTTTTATGCTATAACAGCTGAGGTAAGTAGTTGTGACAGAGACTATTCAGTTTGGGAAGCTTAAAATATCCAATATCCATTCTTTTACAGAAAAGGTTTACCTCTAGATCCAAGGCAGGGAGGGCAGTATGCTCTGAAATTCTCTCAGCTGTAAGACATCTAATACTTACTAAAGGAAGAAGAAAAAAATGGCTTTAGGGATACCCTTTGCACTGTAATGAGATGGCATAAAATTAATTATCTTAATTTGGCATAATAATTATTTTATGGGAGAAAAACATGTTTGGGGAAATATCCTACTTGGTGAGACCCCAAGGTGCCAAGACATCTGGTAGAGAAGGTAGAAAGAATTTGGTATTCTGGTTCTTGAGAGGCAGAATGTGAAGAGAGGAGATTTAACTAATATGTGTGAGAAGGGCTAAGAAGAAAATCCTTCATGGTATTGTGGTTCCAGACAACTTTGGAGACCTGGGGTATCTAATAAGTGACTTTTCAAAACTGTTTGCTGTGCAGTTCATGGCACAATCTATCTTCTTTACTAACTCAACCCCTCAATCCCAGTCTTCAGACAAATCCACTCTCCTCCCAATTGTTTGGGTGACTGATTCC